TGTGTGTGTGTGTGTGTGTGTGTGTGTGTGTGTGTGTGTGTGTGTGTGTGTGTGTGTTTGTTATGATTGCATCAGATGTGACGCCAGACAAAGTTTGTGTTTAATGAACTATTCTTGCAAAATGAAGTGCTAACTCTGACACTGTGATGTGACCTCTTGGTTTCACAAACCCAACAAGAACAAGTTTACAACAACTCCTAATAGCATGGTGCTGGTAATAAAGTTATTACATGTGTGGAAATATGAATACATTCTTCTTAGCTGTTAAGTTGGGATGATTGTGTTTTTAGTTGTGGGTTTTAGGGATTTTAGGTATAGTTGGAAAACTTAATGTAAGTCATCATCATTGTTACCAATAATGTCTCTGTTCTAGAGATGATGTCATTACATTAAAATATTATTGATTTACTAAAGATTTATTAAAGATTTTCAAGGTGATACCATCCATTTAGTGGTTTGAGTTTTTCATTAAATGTTTTCTTACACTTCATACTGACAATAGCCATGAGGTGGCGCCATCACAACATCCCTCCTACATAATGTTAGCTGGTCCTTGTTCATTATAGCATTACATTAAACACTCACATCTTAGCTTTGCACAAAAATACACAGAACTTCTGCTCATTTGTTCTTTTGACACAATGTCAAGAGAGTTTATTTGAACATGTTTTTCTAACATTCTGTCATCCAGGATGAACAGAAAATGTGTCATTGTGATCCTGTCAATAAAAACTAAACTTTGTAAGGTTTACATCTTGTTGCAGATCTAAAAGGTTCAAAGCCGCGCACATATTGAGGTCAGTAGGCCTATCTGTTTTTGTGCTGAGCTGATTATATTAAGCTCAGAGATCGGTGCAACAGGGCCCGTGACCCGAATGGGGTAAAGATGGAGGTTTCTAATTAAATTCAGCTCCTATAAACCCCACCACCACCCACACGTGTATACTCTGCTGGTGGATAAAAAATACTGCATATATCATTACCTGTCCACACTCCTGAGCATTATTTAATAGAAAAAAATTACTGATTTATATTTTCCATTACAGGGTTATTTACATGAAACAATGGTTTATAAGGCAAATAAAACAGCAGCAGCTGCCTGTAGCTCTTCCAGAGCAGGTTTCTCTCCAGGAGAACTCTCCAATCACAGCATTTTTGTCTAAATAACAGTGAAGCTGACAGAAGTATAAAGATTTGTGATTTGCTTTAAGATGGCAACGTCTGCTTTGGGAGTGGGTTTACTGTGACTTCTCTGCTCGTCGAGACGGTCTGAGTGACGGTCTGAGTGGACCCTCGTCCAAAGAGACATATACCCTCTAAAAACAGCTCCTGTCTTCAAAAATTTATAGAGATTCAAAAACATGTTTATACACCTCACTACTGTCCTCAGTCTCAGAACCCCAAGCTGCGCTATAGGTGCTACAGCTAGCTGCTGCTGTTGCTATAGTACTTGCATACAGCCACAGAACTCCATGTAATACCCCTGTTGTGGCGCAACAGTCAAATTATTTATGAAACAAGGGGTTTAAAAGTTTTTTTTAAGTAGGAGGCTGATCATTTTTAAGGTAAAGACTGATCAACCAAGAGGGGTCTGGGCGTCCTCTCACAGAAAAAAAAAA